CAAGCATTTCTGCATTTATTCTATTTATGTTACACTTGTAACAATACAATTATTAACTTTTAAAAAACTAAATATTTTTTACTCTTTTTTACTTAAAAATGCTTAAAACTTAAAACAAGCAACACTATGCACAAATAACTGACTACGACTACGTTTACACGCACTGATAAAACCGTTTTAATAACAACCGTTTTCATGAAACTAACCAATCATAAGTATTCCTGTAAAAAATGGAATGACTGTGATTGGCCAGTTTCATAACTTCGGTTGTTATTAAAACGGTTTTACCAGTGCGTGTAAACGTAGTCACTGTAGTACACTTTTGTTACACTCTGGCGTTTTTCTTGAAAAGCATACACTTTACACGATGTTTCTCCCACTTCCAAAAAGTGTAGTGTATTAAAAGTGTAAGGTGTACACTTTACACTTTTCGTGTATGCAAGTAAAACAAACCTATAGATATAAAATGTGTAAAGATCATATTTATAAATAATATGTATGATCAGTATGATGCATTTGAAAATTCTGAAGAAAACGTCAACGACAATGTTGGTGAATCTTTTGATACCATAGACGACTTTATAATTGTTTGTGTACAAAGTTATCCTCATTTATATAATAAAAATGATAAAAATTATAAAGATAACATAATGAAAATAAAGTTATGGGAAGAAATTGCAAAAACATGTCATCTATCAAGTAAGTATAGTTTTGAAAGAGAAAGCTTTAACATGCAGCTAAAACATTGATAATTAAAATCTATCATAGTCGATGAAGTTCAACAAAGATGGAAAAGATTGAAAGAAAGATATGGCAAACAGAGGAGACTAAACGAACTCGCAGTGCAACTCGCAGTGGCAGTGCCACATGCAGAAAATTAAACAATGGCCGTTATTTGAAAGTATAAAATTCATGGAAAAACACATCCAGAGAAGAAGGTATTAGATTGATAACAAATTATTTATTTTTTATATATAACAATTAGAATTATTTTAATGATTAATCAATTTAATTATATTGTAGGACATTCAGCAATGTTTCACTGCAATTTGGAATAACATTGCATACCACACCAGAAAAATCAAATTTCAGTCATCAGAGGTATGAACTAGAAAGAATACGTGTTATTTTTTATTTTTATATTTGCAAGAATTTGATAGTTGTATAGATATAATATAAATATTGCGTTTTTTGTAAAATAAAGAAGAAAAAGATTTATAAAACACTAATCATAAAAATAATATTTATACTAATATTATTTAGGCTATGTTTAGCTCATTTTCATGCTTAAAATGTTATTTTATCTTTATTATTTATAAATGTAAAATAAAGAACTTAATGCTTATTGTTATGTTCTTTTTAACAGAGAAAATACAGCATCTCAATCAAATCAAAACATGACTCAATTATTTCAAGAATTGAAAAGACGTCAAAGCACAGTTCAAGTAAATGAAGGATTGAAAAAAGTCCCAAGCATAGTTCTACAAAATCGGATAGAGAGTGTAATCGGAAAAAAGTAAGTACAATCAAAACATAATACTTAATAGAAAGAAAATAATTAACGACAATTATTAAAGAAAAGCATAATGCTTGCAAGATAAAATAGTTAAGATAAGCAAAGTTTTCTTTGAGAAAAAAATAATCACTTTTTTACTTAATTGTACCAAAAGAAATTTTGCATGAAATAATATATATGTGTATATATACACATATATATGTTTATATTATTTATGTAGGTTTTATGTATGTTATAATATATGTTATAATATATTATTTATGTAAGTTTTCTGAAGATTACTTAGAAAATAGCGTACATGAATCACCAAGAAACTTGGAAAATTCTGAAGTTCTAGTACCAAACATATATAAAACATCTATAAGAGTTTCTCAGACATCTATGTCTTCTAAATTTGCATGTGTGTCTGATATTTCTGAAAGCAACGCTTTCTACTTCATTTACAGCAACATATGAAACGTTGGATAAATTTCATAATGTTGCCATTTCTTCAGATCGGTCTTCGGAAGCTTCCGATTATATCTAAAACAATTTGTCTCTAAATAAACCTAATTCGCCTTCAGGTGAAGAAGTTACTAGAGCGAAACTGTCCACAACTGCAAATGTATTCTCGCTTAATGTTCCAACAAAATGTTTTTTTGGCGGCTCCCAACGTAAAAAACAAAGAATCCCGATATACTTAAAACTTCATTTACAAGTGCAACAAATATTCAAGTAAATATTCTTAAAGAATATTTACTTGAAAAAAAAGAAGAGAAAAAAAATTATCAACTTGCAGATGAGCACCTAGCTAAATTTATCGTATCACGACTTTTGCAATTGCCAGAAGAAAACAGAGATGAAAAACAAAAAACTAATCGATGTCTTATTGTCCAAATAATTTTGTTTACAGAGTGGCATACACATCTTTATTAATTTTCTTCCTTATTTGTAGGGATTAGAAAATACAAATATATCAGAGAAAAAAGAAATATTACAATTATATACATACATAAGTAAATATATTTTTATTTTTTCTTGGAGGTATACAAGCGATATACTTACTATTAGCTGTCATGGTTTTTTTGTCATGTGATTTTTGTTCAAAATAATGTAGTTATTTTGTATTTTTTGTTTTGTTATTTCTTAACAATATTATTGTTCTATCTGTGATTTTCTGTGCAAGATAAATGTATAATCACTATCAAAACCAAAAAATATAATTTATTAAACGTAAGTTGCAATACATAATAGAACTAAGTTGCAATACATACTAGAACTAAGAAAAAAATATAATTAAATATAGTAATTCACGTTTGCATTTAATTAATTTCATTCATTTGTTTGTCTTAAGAAGCATTTTGTCCTCTTTAAATGTATTCATATTGCCATGGTACTTAATTTAGAGGAAAATATATTCTTTTTGATGTAGAATTTTTATCATTTAATAGATAGAGATTAAACAATTATGAAAGTAAATAGCACTTATATATAATAATACTATCAGCGATACAAAGAACTAACGGCAATTGGCCTTCGAAAAATTCTCCACCGAGCGACTAAAATATCAAAAGTATTTTCCCTTTCTGACGTTAAGAAATATTCTGCTAAAAATTTCTTTGTCGAAATGCTGTTTGTGCCGCTTGGCAAGAAAGTCTTTTTTCTTTGTTTTCCATATTAGTTTTTTTCAGCAGATCTCCAAGCTCCTGGAGTTATATTGCCATTTTTGTTTTTGTACTAATAAAATTTAGAGGACAATACATTCTTTTTGATGCAAAAGAAAAGAATAATTAGATATAATAATATTATGTTTTTACTTGTATAAAAAGTACAAAACCAAATTACACTAACAATAAGAATTAAAAGACTGACAGAAAGTTACATATATTTATGTTACATACTACAACTATGCCAAAAAAAGGAACTGAATATTAGAGCTAGTTTAATAAGTACAACTGTTTTGGTGTAAATTATGTATCTTTAGTACTCTCTTAAAAATAAGCTATTCAAAACAATTTATAAAGATATTATTTATTTTATACATCATATTACATATATACACATACACGAACGTTATAACTCTGTATATAAAATAATTAATTATTAGTAAATTGGAGTAAGGTCATAAACGAGCAAGTTAAAGATGTTGAATAAATATAATTATCAAATAACGAATTGTTATATTAACAAACAAACGTTTCGACTCTTTACTTGAGTCATCTTCAGTGTTTAATATCAAATAAAAAAATATATAAAATAATCACGCTATAAAAGTCCTGTAGATAGATGAAAAAGACGGATGAAAAAGATGTTAATTGTGCAGTCTCAGTGTAAATTTCATCCTCGAGTGTCTTAGGTGAGGAGAAGAATCTGTCTGCAAATGTCTAGTTGAAACACACCAATATCACGAATAATACATGTAAAACACAATTTACTTACAAGCCCCGATAGCCAAATGATAACAGTATGCCAGCAGTATGCACGCAGATTTAATCAGCACTTTGCAGCAGATTCCACTCAGCTATGTCATCACAGTGAGTGAATTATGTAAGCACAATATGTAAAGAAAACAACACAGCAAAAATATAGAAATAAATGAAGAATGAAATGACAATAGCACGTTATGCTTCAAATCTGCTACATTATTTGAGCAAGTTCTGCTTGATTGATGCAATAATATTTGCATCACGGCATGACACATTTATATTCTCTTTTTTTTCTGTTTTTCTGTCAACACTAGTTGCAATAACAGGTTATGTTTGAATGCTGGCTACACTGTACTGGCATAATGTATTATTGCAGATTTTGCAAAATATGCTCATTCAATCTTGGTTATCTGGGAATAGAAGTTTTGGTCGAACACTGGACAGAACAAAAAGACAAACGGTTTATATACATATGAGTCCACACTCTCTCAGCAAAGTCAAAATGATAAAAGCGTTACGTTCAAATTTTAGAAGATTTTATTCTGTCAAGTAAATTAAAATATGAGTCATCTAATAAATCAGTGTAATTATTTAAATTAAAACCGTGAGTTTGTTCCTTTATGTGTATGGTCTCTGAAATTAATAAGAAAACTCACATACATGAATTTATTAAGGATACCGAATGTAATATACGAAATTATGATATAAAATCAAAATAAAAAATCAGGAATAGTGTGATTCCTAAATTACAAACTTTTTACCTTACTCCAATTTACTATTTATATTTATATTACGAGTGTTAATTTTTCTTCTGATAATTAATTATTATTTTATATACAAAATGCTCTTTAAGGCAAACTTAAAAATTTTATAATTAATTATTTTATATCTAATATTACACAGAGAGAACGGTTTCTTTAGATTTAACCAATTTTGGTAAATCCAAACAAATTATTTCATTGGAATAGTCCAAACAACCTTGATTTTGAACTAAACNTTCCGATTGTTTGAATTTCAAACAAAGTATTTTGTTAAGTTAAATAAATCTAAAACTTCAATACAAAAACCTTTTTCGCGGCTTGCACCGTAACACAACTTTGAGATTTTACTCGAAGTAATCTTTGGAGGCCCGATTCAGCTTACCAATCAACCGATGAACTCCATTGAAAGAGACTGGACCTGAAAAAATCCTAAGGTGATAGCGGGATTCGAACTCGAGACGTCTCCGTTGTATTCGCAGCCCCCGCACTCAGTCCGCAAGACTACTTGTTTCTTACTAAAATGTAATTATTTGTATTTACTTATTCTCAAGCTATTCTATACGCATCTTATTTATTATTTCTTTAAATTATTATTTTATTAAAAATATTGCAGTGCAATGTATCTGCAACAAATATTTCTCTTATTATTATTAATTATTTATTATTCTTAAAATTTAAAGTACATTTTTACAACGCTAAATTTTTTGTCTCAAACAATGCTATATTTAAATCAAATATATTTTATGTAATATTTATGTTACAAAATGATTTTTTTTATTAAATAATGCTTATTAAAACCAAATAAAATATTATTTCGTTGGAATAAATTATTTCAAACATTTGTATTGTTTCCGTCAAATAATTTGATTTAATTTAACGTGACAATATAATTTTTATTCAACAAAATTGTTGTTTGGTATAAAATTATGTTGTTTGAATGCAACAAATATGAGTCAAACAAATCAGATTATTAAATTTAAAGAAACCGTTCTCTCTGTGTACATATAAATAAATAATAATTACATATAAATATTACATATAAAATAATTAATTATAACATTTTTAAGTTTGCCTTAAGGAGCATTTTATCCTCTTTGAATGTATTCATATTGCTATGGTGCTTCACCTTCTGGCATTAAGAAATATTCTGCTAAAGTATCTCTTTGTTGAAATTGCTTTTTGTGCCGCAAGAAGGCTTTTTTTCTATGTCTTCCATATTAGTTTTTTCAGCAGATCTCCAAGCTTCTGGAGTTATATTGTCATTTTTGTTCTGGTAATCAATAAAATTTGGAGGACAATACATTCTTTTTTATGCAGATTTGTCATTTAATGGCTTAAAAAATTATGAAGACAAATAGCACTTATAATAATACTATCAGCAGTACAAGAATTAGCAGCAATTGGCCTTCGAAAAATTCTTCACCAAGCGACTAAAATACCAAAAGTATTTTCAATAATACGTCTGGCGCGAGAAAGTCGATAGTTGAAAATTTTTTTCTTATTACTAAGATCTCTCTTTGAATATGGTTTCATCATGCATTCTGTGAGAGCAAAAGCGTCGTCCGCAACAAAAAAACATAGTGTTTGCAATTCAGAATCGAGTAATTTTGTAGTTCCTTTAGGCAAATTTAAAGTGTTATTATGAAATAATGTTAACAAATCTGAATCATTAAAAATACCGCCATCAGAAGAGCTACCGTATGCACCGATATCTATCAAAGTAAATTTACATTTATAATCGCATGCCGCTAGCAGTACTATGCTAAAAGTTTTTTTATAATTATAAAATAAACTGTCTGAATTTGCTGGCGCTTGAATGTTAACGTGTTTCCCGTCTATAGCTCCAACACAATTCGACAGATTCCACTCTTGTAAAAATCCAGCACAAATTTCTTTCCATTCATCTTCATTTGGAATACATAAAACAACAGGTGAGGTACAGCAATTATCGCAGCACATGTTTCTTTTACAACACCATGAGCTGTTGATACGCCCACACGATAAGCTAATGCTATTGACAACATCTGATTACCTGTAACAAGATACCTGTAATATTTGTGTATGCATATAAAAATTTTATATCTATCTATTTATAATATAAATGTTATATTTTAATTTGTCATTATAATAAAAATATAACTAACTAATATTTAGAAAATTTTGAATTATATACAAGTCAAAATGTCTGCAATTATTAAATATAAATTAATAACAACTCAAAACACATTAAATAAGTTTTAAACATTTCGTAAACTTTTAAAAAACTTTATTGTGTCTATTTATTCAAATGTTTTGTTCTTTTTCACTGAATTGGCTGCACCAGTTTAAAGTTCTTTTTTTTCACTCTAAATGAAAGGGAAAAAGATAAATTCTGAACTGGTGTGACCAGTTCAATAGAAAAGACTAAACTATAAGCAACAAGTCTTCAAAGAACAAATGCATTACTTGAGTGTAATTGCGAGACGTTGCTTAGGTGGCAAAGCTTTTTCACTTTTTTTAGACAGATATGGAAAAAGCATCGTTAGTAAAATGGAAAATGTGTTCACATCCAATCACGTATATTGAAAAAATAAGTCTGGATCTTCTTTCATTTCTTGAAAAAAATGTTGAAAATCTCCTTGTTATATTCGACGTGTGTTAATAGGTCTCACAAGCCACTTTCTATTTCTCCAGCGTTTAAATTTTCTTTTCTTTTTTATCGTGTACAAATAACTTTTACTTGTGTACAAATAACTTAATTGTAAATATGTAAAAGTTGCAAAAAGTTTTCTTTATCCATGATCTGCAAAAGTTCAGAATATATATATATTGGGACCTTAAATAAGTTCTCGCTGTTTTCCAACAGATGGCGTTACCAGAACTGCGTGCGTGTAGTTTAAGATGGTAACGCATCTATAAGGAAGTACCATAGGCAAGCTTGAAATTCAGTGTATGTCATTTCGCCGAAGTGTAAACAACTTATTTTTATAGTGTTAAACATGTCGAGTTTTGTGCCAAAAAAGTGTATTTGCGGAGAATTTTATTGGACTATTTTATTCAAAAAAATCTGCAGTTGAAGCACACAGAATTCTTGTTGAGACTTACGACGACCATGCTCTGTCGGAAACAACATGCAGAGATTGGTTTAGACGCTTCAAAAATAATGATTTTGATGTTGAATGTTGTTCTGTTGATGAGCAACAGCTGAACGTATTATCTTTATAGCTCGACACAAAAGATGCAGAAATCTCACTGTGTGCGAGTCGAGCGAGTTGTTTATACTCACGGAAAGGACGTGTTGTGTGTTTGTGTGTGAGTATTCAGGGGCCTCCAGTGGGCTTTACAAAGTGTATAGTGTCATGAAAAAATGTGTGTGTGTGTATGTGCACGCTCGCGCGCGCGCGTGTGGTGCCGACTCGTGGCAGAATTGGAAAAAGAGGGTTAAGGAGTTGGTTGTGTTATTGTAAAGGACGGGGGATAATAAATATATATGGAAAATTGCGACAGGTTATAGTAAAAGCGGGCATTCGGAAGGATGACGGGAATTATTTCGGAGGGAGGAAGTGAGGATACGGTTCTGCGGAGTTGATCGGGTGTGAGAGCGTTGAGGTTTAGAGCGTGTTGCTCCGGAGGTACCGGGAATCGTGAGCGGGGAAAGAAAAGGACATGACGCAAAAAATAGAATATTGGGTTTGGATCTAAAGGAAAACGAGAGCGCGGAAGGTTAAAGGGAGGAGGGGTAGGACCGTCAGTGAGTTCTATGAGCTCGAGATGATCTTCGTCAGACGTAGGAGAGGAGAGAGGACGAGGAGCTAGGTGCTCGAATTCGATCTCGAGTTCCGAATCGAAGTCGAAAAGAAGTGCATTGCGAGAGGAAGGGCGAGAGGCTAAGTATTCGTAAATTATGTCTATTTTCGGATCAGAGTCTGGGTGAGGGGAAGGAGTTGAATCTCGAAGGAGGAGAAAGGTTTGCAGAGAGTTGTTGGAAGTCATCCTCGAAAAGTACGGGGGAGTACAAAGTGGGTTCGTACCACGAATCGGTGTCGTTTTCGTGGCCCACGGCGGGTGTGTCGGAGTGTGAGGTGGAGGGAACGTTAAAATCCGTAGATACTGAGTGTGTGTGGTTAGTTAGTGTCGGTGTGTTGTGACTGAGTATATTTGGTACGGAGGCTGGAGAGAGTTCCGTAGGCCTATTTGGCTCTGCAAGGGAGGCTGTCTGTCGTAAGGCTCGATTCCGCTGGGTTCGGCGAGTTTTAATCGCAGCGCGGAGTGTTTGGTTACAATTCTCCACTTAAATTCGTAATCAATTAATGAGGAGGTCTTTTCCATTTAAATGAACTCGCAGCTGATTTTATTTTTAATTGTATTATCGGCCAAAATTTATCAAACAATGTTATCAAAAAAATCGGGTTGAAATATTATTATTACGATCCTTATTGGAAAGAGAAAGATTCAACTGCAAATTCTTTTGTCGGCTGGTTATTCGCGGAGATAAATTAACTTAGCACTTACTACTTGCGATGTACTTCTTCCACGTCCCTCCGCGGATTTCTTTATCCGGAGTTCCTGGTTGAGGGAAGCCTGTTCGGTCCTTCAGTTCACCGATGAGTCGGCCTGATACTCTTAGTTTGCACTTTCACTAATTTGGACGGCACTCGCGAATGGTATTCAGGGTTTTCTTATTATTTCTGATCGCGACGGAGGTTCGTTTTTTTCTCTGACTCTGTTCGCGGGAGCGTTACCTTATATGCGCTTTTTAGTAGCCACGGGGCCTTCCAATCAGAGCGCTTGATAAGCTCGCCCGCTTCTATCAAAAACGGTGATAACTTTTAATTTGCTAAAAGTTCATTAAAGTAGACACCATCTGTGGGACAACGTCTCTTGCGCTTCGCAGCTGTTACTATGGAGATAATTTTTATCCGGCAGAAATTGTTTGTTAGTGTCTCGCGAGTGTTCCTGTCTGTCTTTTATTAAGAAAACTTCCCTTCCGGAGATAAGGAGATTTATTAATTTTGCCTAGCCGGGCACATGTGGATTGTTATTACATATGTCCGGCATTTGTTTGCCCGCGGAGCTTGTCTTGGATTTTTCATTTCCCGGATTTATTATTTTATTTCGTTGAGGTGCGTTTCGCTTTGTGTTCACCCGATTTTTACTGTCACGTGTTTTCTCAGATCGATCTTCTGTTCCCCATCTGGAAGTTTTCTGTTTAGTCCGCGTCTCATCTCCCGCGTTTTTGTTTAAGATAAAATTTGTTTCTACCGAGTGTTCACCATTCTGCGTTGCGTAAAGAAGGAAACCGTAGTCACAGGACGTAACAGTAGTATATCAGGTTGGTCAGAAAATCTTTTTGTATTTTATGCAAGTAAGACGACTGAAAATACAAAAAGACTCTTTCTGATTAACCTAATACATCTATACTATTAAAGATGATATTTATGTATATATATATATATTTAACATATTGCAATTGTAAAATAAAATATATATTTATAAATAAATATATATTTATAAGTAAAATATATATTTAAATTACACAACTATCAAAATAGTTTTGCCATTGTACTAACTGCGATATTTTTTCATTAAAGTTAAGGTCGCACGTGAAAATATGTTAGTCAAAGTTATAAACAGTAGTCAAAGTTATAAATAATAGTACCGCATGACTTGACTTGACTTCTTTGTGGCTCGAAGATTTACAGTGTCATATATGCGTGTATTCTAACCTCTGTTTAAGAAATGGAAGTGCGCATGCGCAAGTCAAGGCATTAAGAATGAATAATAAATTTTACTGCTACAGTCTTACGGTTACGACTAAAACTTTTTTACGTGCAAAGGCCTTAAGCAAGCGTGAGTGCCGCCATATTGGAAGGCCCCCGCGTCTATATTTGTCTCTGTCTGCCGAGAGAAAGGATGCGCCCGAACGGCGCATCCACTCAAGATATAATCAAGATTCTTTATTTCAGGAATATTAAACTAAGTGTACTCGTTAACAGCCGCGTCGGTACGTGTATTCTAAATAAGTGTTTAACCGTAGATGTCAAAGAAGAATAAACGCGGGAATCGTTCGGGCTGGCAGAAGCAACGGTGGCGTAGAGGTTTAGAGTGGGTAGAAAGCACGTTGCACCAGCCGCCCAGTGCTGATGTCGGTTATCCAGTAATTATTAGCGATGAGAAGATGAACCTGAACCTGGAAATTAAGCGGTGGAAGAAACTCATTCCGATTAATACCACGCATTGGTATTACACCGTAACATTACCGATTAATGATCCACATTACCGCGTGTATAAAGACAAACTCATCTGTACAATAAATCCAGCTCCACCTGTACTTACATTAGAATAAAATAAATGTGTATTCATGTTCGGCAAATCCTTTTGAACGGCAATATTATTTTCCTTTCTCAAAATGTCGATCACTGGCAAAAGTATAGCTTAGGGCGCCGGCACACGAGACGGATAGAGACGGAACGGAACGAAAGCGGAATTATAACGGAACCAATCACAGATCTATAGTTTCTTCCGTTGTTTTGTTCTGTCGTTTCTTCTGCCTTATGTCCCACGAGACGGAATGTAGATGGAAGCGGAATATTCGATGTGATATAAAATAAATATTTATATGTTATTTGCCATATTTTATAGGCAAAAAGTGACATTATGTAAATATAATAGCATAAAATATAAGATACGATGAAATAGTAAAAATAAAATGCATTTTTGGTGACATTTAATTGTAAACGTTCGTATACAATTATTTTATGATTAGCTGAAACTTGATTTTGCAGCTATTTTTCCGCTCCATGGGATAGTAGGGATTTACATCGCGGAACGGATCACGGAAGCGGAATCTTTTGATAAAAAAGTTTATTGAGTTTGTGTTTATTGTAATTAGTTTGTAATTAAACATCAAGTTATGGAAGTCGACAATATTTTATATTACATTTGTCGTATGTGGCTTTCATGCAAAAACAAACCGTACTCTTCATTTCAAAAGCAGGTTATTCGTAAACGAATATTAAAAATAATTTTATTGTATCTAATACAAAAAACACGAGAAAATAAACGCACACGGCAATTTTGGGTCCTATATTCAGAGAGGAAAGAAGACTAATGCAAGGCGCAAGCGACAATCTTATTCGTGAAATGGAAGATACCGATGTTGAAAAATATTTTAACTATTTCCGCATGTCATTGGAGACATTCCAAAAATTGTTAACAACCGTTGAACCATACATCACGAAAGAAACAACAATTCGAACACCGATTCCTGCACGCACCCGTTTACAAGTTACATTACGATATCTAACTTCCGGAGACAGTATGATCTCCATATCTTATAGTTTCCGTATAGCTCATAATACTGTTTCAAAAATTGTCGCCGAGACTTGCCTTGTTATTTGGAAGTGTTTAAAAGACAAAGTATTTCTTCAACCAAATGCAGCTAATTGGGAGTGTATTGCTGAAGAATTTGAAAGCAATACAAGTTGACGAAAGAGGAACCGATAATGGTCCACTGAGTACTTTTGGCGTTGACTCTTGTGCCACTGTTAATGCATCTGTATTTGTTGCAGCTCTACTAAAACTTCTATCCAAATATGTATTTGAATTTGGACTGATCTGTAACGAATTCAACGAGCTTATCGTGCTGCAAAATAAAATTAAAAAACATATTTAAAAAATAAAAAGATTTACATTATATACCCTAATAATAGATACAATGAAATTATAATGCACAAATTGCTTTTTTTTCAGTTTAATTTTCATTATGGTAATTCATTAATAAATAAATATACTTACGGTTTTGTAGTGTAAGCTATTTCTAAAAATTGCATTTGTTGAAAAAATCTAAACGAACTAGATCGCAATTTTTTTGCTGTCTCTATGTCAGATCCACTTGGAACATAAGCTTTTGCTTTCTTTCTTGCTTTTACATAGGAATCACGTAAATCTCTCCAACGCCTTTTAGCCCATTCAGGAGTCACTTTACCTATATTGTAAATATAATTCTTGTATTGTATTATATTTCAAAACATACTTTCTTCATTTACGATATTAATATTTACGATATTAATGTTTAAAACATTACCTCCTCTTATTTACGATATTAATGTTTAAAACATTACCTCCTCCCATCGATTTGCTACTTCTACCCAAAGAGCGTTGATCTTTAGTTTGGTCCTCTCTTACAGGTAATTTGTAGTTCTAAATTGCGGATCTTTGGGAAACAAGTTCGACTAGAATCTCATCGTTATCGTCTGACATTGATTTTGAACTATCCTCTACAAAGATTACGCTTACATTTTGTGGATCTTCATTTTCTCTGTTATAATTTCTTGCAACTTCAAAATACAATATTATTACAATAACATAAAATTTACTGAAATTATATAAATATAAGCACATACTCATCATTGCAATATGGTTCTTATCAACATGTAATGCATGCATTTCTTCTGAGTATTTCTGGAAACATTTATGCTGAAATATGTCACCACAAGATCCGATGATAATCCAGCCACAGTAGCCACATTTTAAAATCTTTTAACACATCTGTAAATTACACATTAATATAACACACTAATATTTCTGCTAATTACAGTTATTCAATTCGCTATATTACTTACGATTCCTTTGCTTGAATCCATTTTGCAAACTACATAATTCTTCTCATCAGTTTTCATATAAATTGAGAGTATCTGTTGAATATAGCAAAAGAATAGAGAGGTGACAATAGAAGACTTGTGATTGCGTTATAATTCCGCTTTCGTTCCGTTCCGTCTCTATCCGTCTCGTGTGCCGGCGCCCTTAGACCGTTGTCGCAAGGTTTCAGCTTACCAGTCTCAAAAAAATAACCAAATTTATTGCGAAACCTGTGCATTCAAACCCGGTAACTATTATTGCTATTATTGCAAATCTATTAAAACCCACGGGGTAACCATTGGGACCTGTCCCACGGTAATTCGTTGTAGTAAGTGCTGCAAAAGCGTAACCACAATCTCACCTAGTGTACAGACATGTGCAGAGTGCCATAGTTATTATTATTATTATTTTTTTTTTATTGATGAAATAAGGTACATGCCGCAAGACGCGCTTATGTGGCTTACAATGGAAGTACACACAATGTTGAACTAAACTAGAGTATAAAACACTAGCACGGAGGAGCATGTATAGGGTGCGCCTCCTTTATACATACGAGTATCACATCGAGAGTAGCGGGAAACTTAAATGCACATACACATCACAGTATGTATATGGAGGGCCGGAGCTCACTTTGGCCCGTGTAACCAGTGGCCAATAAACATTACATGAATCTTAACAAAATAAAAATAAAATAAAGGAGCAAAGACCTTAGTCTACATATTGATCTAAATATAAAATATAACAGTTAAAGATATACAAGTAACTTAGTTAAAACATAATATCGTAAAACTAAACTCATTGCACACAAATCGCATATATAAAACATGTTAAATAAAGAGTGGTATTGAGCAAAGGAAACTGCTTACCGCAGCGACAATGTCTTGGTGAGAACATGTCAACAGGAATTCGACAGGGTGCGGAAAAAAACCAGCCGCTCGCACCAGCCGGCTGCGCAGTAGTTTGCGTCGTTCGTCGTACGGGGGACACTCCCAAAACACGTGAATTGGGATCTCCCCCTGAGCGCAGATTCGACACAAAGGCGAGTCCACTATGTCAAAACGGAAAAGACTGGCACGTAACGAGGTGTGGCCGCTACGAAGGCGGTTGATAGATGTCACCGCCCTGCGAGGTAAAGCTAACGACTCAAACCAGGTATTCCGAGAATCTGTCAAAAAGTTACTGCAGTAGTAGACTCCCCGAGCCGGAGTCTTGCTCCGACACCAAGACAACAACTCTGTCTTCAAGTTGGCTTTCCAAAAGGTTTTAATCTCATCCAGAGGCACTTCCACCTGGGAAGGCCTGCCACACCGAACTGCATCCTTCGCGAGAGAATCTGCCCACTCGTTACCTCGCACCCCACAGTGGCCGGGAATCTACACCAGCTTGACCTTAACTCCCCTACTCCTCAGATCCAGAAGTAACGACTTCACCAGAAAACGAGATACGAGCTCCGGCCCGGTTAAAACCGAGCCTGCACCGCCGACAGAGTTGACAAAGAGTCAGAGAAGATCGTAACCGCCGACCAGCTCTCCACCTGCGCCAAACAAAAGGGCCCCCACGATGACCATAGCCTCAACACAAAAAGACGACACGAACCCTACCGAACAAAAGCGGCGAATATACCTGCCGTCCAGCGACACCAACGAATACCCTGAAAAAGGGGATCCCTCCGACCGTGAGCCGTCAGTAAAGAGGCACACGGAAGTGTCCAACTCGGCCCGGAACAGACGACGAAATTTCGACTCCACGTCAAGGCTCTGACGCAGGGACGCCCCCGTCGTCAAGTCCACATCATGAGTAGACAGCAGCGGGGCAAAGCCGAAAGAATAGCAGACGGGGACTTCAGACGAGAACAACGAGTTGGACCACCGGCAAACCAACCAAAAAGCCTCCAGAAGAAGAAGCGAGCCGACCTGATTTCTGTTCGGTGACGCCAGCAAAAGAGCTTGAACCTCCTCTAGCAAGCTCCACACCGGGTGGTCGTTCACCGTGGCCACCCTAGAGAGATAGTTACAACACAGAAAGCGAAAACGTAGAAAGAGTGTAGGCTCCCGAGCCTCTGTCAACAACACATTCACCGGAGTAGAGGTCCTATAGCCCATCACGACTCGTAGCGCCCGTCGCTGCAACTTATCCAAACGGTTGCCCACCCCCTTGGAGAGGCCATGAAGCAGAAAACCGCCGTACTCAATTCTCGACCGCACCAGTGCTCCGTAAAGGCGGAGCAAGAGGCGGGAATTACTACCCCACCATGTCCTACCCAAACACTTGAGAGTGCGCATAGAACTGGCACACCTTCGTTCCAACTGCAGAACATGGTTTCCCCACTCTAGGTTAGATCGAAAGGTCATGCCCAAGAAACGGACCTCTGGTACCGAGGTAACTTTAACCCCCATCACCATTATTCCCCAAACCTGATGGCTCTCCACACGTCCACCTCCCCGAGCAATCTCCAACGCTCTCCGGTTCCCACAAATAAACACACACAGCTGTGTCTTCGTGGCAGACAGGTCCAAGCCAAGGGCAGACACCACATTGTTTACCGACTCCTCCAGATCACGAAGTCCGTCCCTAACATCTCCGTTTGAGGCGTACACGCAAACGTCATCAGGATACTAAAGCACCTTACACCCGGGCGAGCATGTCCGGCCCAACTGGGCAACATAAATCGTATAGAGCAACGGACTGAGAACACTTCCCTGAGGGAGACCTTTATAAATCC